TTAAATAGGATTTGCGCGCTGCGCGATGTCGCGCGCGCGCGCGCGCGATGCTTATCAATAGCTCTTTCAGAACGGCATGGCGAAACTCTTAATGAGATCGACTAGAAAGATTTTGCCGCCGCGGCGGAGCGGGAGGGCGCGTGGACGGGGGAGGGGGTATGTAAAAATATTTGCACCGCGAAATCCCGCCAATGATATCTACGATGTCGAGGTTCGTTGAACGTGCGAAGTCTGCGGCGGGAGCGCTGAAACCGCGAAACGAAATCGGCTTCCGACCAAACAAAACGCGGCACCATGCGGACAAGTATCGCGCTACATCGCGGTCGACAGCGTCGTAAGCAGTGAGCTTTGCACCGTGCTGGGAAGCTCGCTACAATGTTTAGCGTCCGGCCGCGGAAAGAAAAGAGACACATAACTTGAATGCACGTGCTTCTATGTATTATTACTAACGGGGCTGCCGAGACGACGGACTCCGGACGACGAGATAGCGGTGAGCGGTAGACACCGTATCATTTCGAGCGCGCAAACAGCGTGTGTATCATCCGTATGTGTTTACGCTACTTTGATCATTAACTCTCTATAACGACATGTAACTTTGGAGTCACATATGTACACCAGCGTTTTTCAACCGGTGTGCCGCGACACACTGGTGTGTCGTGAGAGGATTTAAGGTACGCTGCGGAAATTCAAAGATCATTAGTTAAATTATTTTCGCAAGCAGTTCAAAGCACAATAAGTATATATACATCAGAATTAAAACCTCTTTAAATTGATTATACGAATATATCATTGTTATAACAAATAAACACCGGCTTATTTATAAAGTGGGTGAGGTGTAGCCTTTGTTACAAATTATAATAAATTGTTTTGTTTTATCTTTTGGCCGTGATGGTGCATTTTGTTTGTGTTAATAAATAAATAAAAAAAGGTATATTCTGTTTTATGCTCTTTTTTTGATCATCATAATTTAAGTGTGCCGCGGAAGTTTAACTATAGGTTCAAGTGTGCCGTGAGATAAGAAAGATTGAGAAACACTGATGTATATACTGATGTATCTATTTTTAACTTAAATTATACACACATGTACAGATATTGCGGTTGCAAAGTTACAGTTTTTTTAGAACAAAATCTTTGACAATTGTAAATCAATTGTTAATTTATATCTGGAGGTTAATATTTGCTGATTTCATGTCATATAATTCTTTTTATACTCACGAAGAAAAATTGAATTATCAGGGATAATAATGTATGTTTCGTTTTATTAAAACTACAGATATTCGTCTTTTATTTTTTTATATTTTGCTTCCTTCTTTCAGGGAATAAATGTCCCAATTAGTGACGGAGTAACCGCACCGCGAAAATAAATTAATAAATTAATCGTATATGTGTTAAGCAATGTACACAAAGTTGATTTTGTTGGGAAGCTCGAACATTCAGGTTTTTAATTGTGCGATATTTCTCTTATTTATCAAAAGATTTTAATACATTCATTTTTGCTTCACTTATTCGACATTGTTTATTGGCTAACAATACGAGACTTTTATTTAGGATTTACTGCATTTATTGTGAAAAGAAAATTTCTTAATTGAGGATGGTTGAAAATGTCAACCGAAACATCTGGAACTTTCAATATGTATCATGTTTATTATAATAATTCTTAACGACATTCTATGCGGATACTTATAGACCTTATTAATTATTTAATTTGTTTGCGATATTTTCCAAAAAATTACTAAAGTATCATCAAAGGATGCAACAATTTGGATTAGTTTCTTATTATCAGCTTAGTCTGAAAGCAATTAAAGTAGAACTGCACACATCCAACATGTAACACAATAAACATTTGTTAACTATTAATTTTTAAGATGTCTGAATGATTGTTGTTGTGAATAATACATTTGTAATTATGTCGTTCCAGCATTTATCATACCTTTTAATTTTATTCGAAATTTAATTCGAATTTAATTCGAAATTTAATTTATTAAATAATTTATTTTATTTTATTTTATTTTATTTTATTTTATTTTATTTTACTTTATTCGACATTTTTTATAACCGATAATACAAGGTGTTTGAAATCTTTTAGAAACGAAAAATTGTAAAGATTAATCAGACCAAACTGAGAAGAAAAGTCAAGTACCATTTTGCAAAGAAGTACGTAAATTTTCAAGTTATTAATTAAAAAAGTCTCTAAATGTGATCATTTTCAATCATTAATAACTTAATAACTATTGCGATTTTTGCAAAATAGTATATAACTTTCTTCTCAGTTTGATCTAATTAATCTTCACAATGCTTCCGTTTCGTTTCCAAAAGATCCCGGACATCCTGTATATATAATAACATTTAGAGTAAGAACATGTTTAAAATCAATATAGACTCATATTAGCTGATTTATTAAGAACAATAAGTGCAACTGTTACAAATTTGGACATTGTCACTTTACACTTTAGATGTTTGTTATTTACAAACACATTCTTTACTTGATATCTTCAGATTTTTAATCATGTTATGCATTATAAATTCTACTATCGACTTAACCAGTAACTTCATCGGTGGTATAATTTACGCATACAAATAAACTCAAAATGGCAAAAAAAACACAATATGGTGTTTTACATTCTTTCCACTTGGGACACGTTATGTAAAAATCTCACAAGGGAACTGTCAGGGGTGTCCCTCACCGATTTGATTCTCCTTGAAATATGTTATAAAACAAACAAATCAAAGAGACACGTATTTTTTTATATCGGCCCAATCTCATGTTTAAGGGATGAAACAACCCTTTGAAAAAAAAACGGTCTTTTTCTTTGAGATCGAATATTGTCAAAACTATAAGACATACAAAAAAATTGTTTCAACAAAATTTTAATGGTTTGAAGAGTGCTTTGAGGATATGCAAAGAAAATTTTTTTTTATTAAATATTTTTTTATTTAACCACCACCTCCACCTCCCCTTTTTGCAAAATTAAAAATTTTTTTTCACCAAAGTAAAGGTTATTTTTTTCCAAATTCAACCATGTATAATAAAGTAACGTTACGAGGAATCATTTTCAAGAATTAATTGTTATTGTCTCCGTATATACGCTTATCTGTGCTATGTGCGCAGGTAATTATGGTTCAACCAGTAAAACATATATAAAAAAGTGCTTCAAATAAAATTTTTAAAGTTTTCTATATAACTTACAACTTTTCTTTCTTTCTTTCTTTCTTTCTTTCTTTCATTCTTTTCTTTTCATTTACGCACCCCTTCGTCCTAACGCGGTGGGGCTCCTGAACCTACTAATAAGATTCGAAAATATATAATGGCTTTTGGCGATTCCCTGGGAAAGACATTACATATTAAGCGCACGTAATATGAAGAAGACAACTTTAGGGTACTAAGAGAAGTAACTTAGAGAAGAATTATTTGTTTTAGAAGAGCACATTAATAGCCAAATATATGACCGAAACGTTTGTGAATTATAATAATAAAATATTTCTAAAAAATCATACGTACATCCAATGAACGGTTTATGGCTCATAGGGATTAAGGACTGATATTTTTGTATATATTTTCGAATATTTTCGTATATATTTTTACATATTTATGCTTTTATATTTTGTAGTTTACACAATAATTCATGAACGTACTTAATAATTAAAAGAACATAATAAATTTATATTTAGAGTTATTCGCTCTCATTATACTCATTACAATAATGATATTCGTGAAAAAAGTGTTTCAAACATAATGACTTTTTACACCACGAACATCTTATTACCGCTATATTGTTACAACCTTCGATGTCACATGTAGTTGAAGTTTCGTCAAAACTAAACTGTACAGAGTTTTTAAATTCTTTTGGCCTTTCGTCTGTATAATCGTTTTTAAACCACGAATATTTAAACAAGTTGTTATATCGTGGGAATGACAGTTGTCATCCCCATGTTATAATTAATAGAAGAACAGAGTATAAAGACTGTACTGACTGTGAATATTATACGCTCACGTTAGATACACGGTCGCCTTATATACTAGGCGGTGCACATTTTGTTTCCACGAACGTGACGAACTGATAGGCGTATCGTCACGTATATAGATAAGCATATATACAGAGGCGATAACAATTAATTCTCGAAAATGATTTCTCGTAACGTTACTTTATTATACATGGTTGGATTTGGAAAAAAATAACCTTTACTTTGGTGAAAAAAAATTTTTAATTTTGCAAAAAGGGGGGGTGGAGGTGGTGGTTAAATAAAAAAATATTTAATAAAAAAAAATTTTCTTTGCATAACCTCAAAGTACTCTTCAAACCATTAAAATTTTGTTGAAACAATTTTTTTGTATGTCTTATAGTTTCGACAATATTCGATCTCAAAGAAAAAGACCGTTTTTTTTCAAAGGGTTGTTTCATCCCTTAAACATGAAATTGGGCCGATATAAAAAAATACGTGTCTCTTTGATTTGTTTGTTTTATAACATATTTCAAGGAGAATCAAATCGGTGAGGGACACCCCTAACAGTTCCCTTGTCAGTAGCCTAACTGATAAAATCTGAATAATAATAAATCTAAAAATAGAAACCTGCGCTTAGGCGCTATATTCTTTTTTCGTCTACTGAATTGTAATTGGTCAACAGGATCTTTTTACTGGGTCTTTGCTGCAAATCCCACTAACATCATTTTGTATATTTTTTACCTCATTTACCAGTATTATACCTCATTATAAATTGTTAGAACATTATTATACACTTCATTCACTTATAAACGTAGAGCTTATGTTGAAGTGTCACACTTCATTACATAATTTTGCTCATTTCCGTCACACTGTCACATACTTTTACGCCTGACGTGTCGCTGAAGGCAGCCGACATGTACAGCTTTGAAGAGGAAAGGACAGACTGATTATATCTTCCTCCTCACTCTCATCCCGTTTCCTCTCATTTGAGCGAGTCTTCCGATACAGTATGGAACTCATCGATCGTAACACAAGGCCTCGTCTTCTTTCTGTTGCAGGTTTATTCGAGACGAACGGCGTGCTGGTGCAAGGCACAATGTGCGACCACGAGTTCGTCAGCTCAATGCAATCGACACCGCAGTACGGACGATTCTACTCGCCGCGGTACCCGTCCTCCTATCCGAAGAACATCCGGTGCTCCTACCTCTTCCGGGCGAGGTAACTAATCTGACCTACTCCTGAATCCGCTCGCTGTTCCGGCCCTAATCCATATATAATGCATCTCTACGGCTAATCTCCGTCCTGGTCATACATCTACTGCCTTCCGCGTTTAATGACGACAGTTCGTGATTCCGCTCGCAGTTAATTAACACCCAATCTAATCGGACGACGTTCGATCATTTCGGACTCGGCGACTCCCGCCGATAGTGCGCCGTTAGCATCGACGTAAGAATGCTTGGACGGAGTATTCCATGAAGGATAGGTCTAATTAGCGGTAAGGGCAAACTTACGGTATTCCGAGCCTTCCCGCCGCGACTCTCCTGGATATATTTGGCTTTATATCAGCTGGAGCGCTGGAACCGTGACATTTGCAGCCAATTGAGGTGGCATCTTTGAAAGGATTTGCCACATATATACTTCTATGTACTTCAGCAGACTGCTAATTCTCGACAATGGAATAGTGGTGAGAAATAGACGCCTTATCATTGGGGTGCACATAGTGTGTATGTGTGATAGTTCACACTATCTGTGTGAACGTGCCACGTGATCGATACGCAACTGCTCTAATCAGGGAAACAGTGCGTCGCACACGTGATTAGTTTCATCAAAACTGCAAATATAATTATTGTCTCACACTTTCTCATGTTTTGCTTCCTTCTTTTGTGCGTCTTGAATATTTATTGGCTATCGATGAATATAACTGTTCGTAATTAATAACGGTATTTACAAAATTCTGATTATATTATGGGTCATAAATTTTAATATTGACTTCTGCAGCGACTTTCAATGTAATTTATACATGTATTATTGAACTCAAAATGATATATGGCGTTCCACACTTGGGATACATTACGACGTAAAGTAGCTTAGTTAGTATATAGAAGTTTGTGCGTGGGATGTGCTGCATCAGTTTATCGGAAGTTGCCAATTTGTTGTAAGATATGCACAAACAAAATTAATAAGCCGAATGAGAAATATCATAATTTTCCCCTTGTTGCAAGTCGGTACATCCTACATTGCCTACATAAACCTTACATTTGATTGCAAAACAATTTAGACACAATGAAGTAAAATATCCAGCTTTGAAACGAAACCAAGTTGTTTCAAATGCTCATCCGCGATCAAATTCAATATATTCAATCTCTCAGCAATTTCTTGTGTTGTTAAATGACAATTTGTATTTACCAATGCCTTTATTTGGTCTTCATCAGCCTTAACAGGCCTTCCAGAACGTGGTGCATCTTTGAGGTCGAAATTCCCAAAACAAAATTTCGAAAACCAATTTTGACACTGGCTTTCAGTCAACCTCTTGTCAAACCTTCTTCATACACGGTACACAATTTTTTTCTTGCTTGCGCTACATTTTTGCTTTTAACGATAATAAAAAAGCAAAATGTGACAAAAATGTCCACGTTATTTTCCCATTCTTTTTATATGACGCCAAATAAAAACAACCTGACAGATTCCAAAACAACTTTCTTTCAAATGAAGCTTGAAATGTGCATTATAAAAATGTAAAATGATTTTCCGGTTTAGAATGGGGTTAACTGTTTAAAAGGGTAATTAATACCATCTATTTGAAAAAACCGAAATTACTTTCCGAACAACCCAGTAAATAGCAGCATAATAAAAGGCTAATCCTTATATCGTGCACATAAAAGATTATTGTGCAAATTATAATAGCACCTCCCAATCCTTTTAATATGCGCCTTATCTCATTGTGCGTCTGAACCGTTTTGGGACACCAAGTGTATACGCTCCGTCCAAATATTTTTACGAGTGTACGGGTATATTAGTGAGAGACAGAAAATGAATGAGACAGTGACAAGGAGGATGTTGAATTTTTAATGGTTGCGCAGAAAGAGCGTGGAAAGTCGAGCCCTTTCGGTTGACGCAGAATTTTCCTGCCGCGCCGCGATTCCGTCGTCATCGGAAATTTTCCGGCTTCCTGCTGGCGGCTCAACTTTCGTCGTTCCTCATCTCGGCTCCTTGTTACACAGCCGCCGAAAGTTTATGCCCGTTCTGTCGCGAGCCGTTTCGCAGTACAGCGGCATAAAAGCTGCACCCGCCCTAGCCCGGGACAGAGCGGGAAAAAGCGGCAAGTTCTTGGCACGATCCCTCCGTAGGAAGCGCTACGCCATTCTCTAGCCGGTTCCGCGAAACAACGTCGAGACCACTCGCCCACTCGCTCGTTCACTCGCTCGCTCGCTCGCTCGCTCGCTCGCACGCACGCTGAGGCCCCGGGCGATTTGTGCGCGAAAATGTAATCCACCAAGTGTCGAGCGACGAAACGTTAACAAGCGGCCTGTATTAATCCGCCGGCGAGTGTACGCGCCGGAAGAGAGAAACATTATTTATCGCGTCCCCTAATCTCGAACTTGTGCCCACTTTTACACGCTACGCCTGCGAGCGCCATAACTCACGTTCCGTGCCGCTGAACGGTCATCAGTTTCGCGAATGTCTGCCGCGATACGTGCCCCGAGCTATCAAAGGAAATAGTCAACGGAGTCGAGTCAGAACGTCGCTCAATCGTGATGAATTTAATCGTGACGTCGCGCCGCACCGCGTCGGGGTCAGCGTGCGGATATGATTTCCGTACTATTGTGCACCGCTGCTTAATTGCAGTAATTGTATCAAAGTAACATTCGCGACCCTAATACATACATACGTCTGACAGCTATGTCAACGCAATGCCGCTATACGTGCCGCTATAAAGCTGGAGAATACATATGCATGTGTGTGTGTATATATAATATATATATATATATAAAGCTGAAGAGTACATATATATATATGTGTGTGTGTGTGTGTTACACATACACATATACATATATACGTATGGGTGAACGAGGCAGTTTATCCGCTAGGTATTCATGACATTCGCTCTATATTAACATGCTGCACTGTTCTCGATGGTCCCTCTTTGTCATCCGACGATCGCTTTGACTGTTCGTTTCGTCCTGTGCGAGAAAGCCATAGACTTAAAGAGATAGACTGCACGTTTTTATGGGACAGCTGACAACGAGATTAAAGGGCAGGAGTATGCTAGGTTAGATTCTTTCCTGTCACACTGTATTCTGGGGAAGCGTGAAAGGTAGAGGAAAAGAAAAACAAAGAAAATATTAAGTTGATGCGAAAATAATTGCGATTTTTACATATGGAGTATAAAGATGCATATATTGGTTAAAAATTATATTTATTAATCAAAATAAAGACTACTGGTCTGCACACATTTCTCCCAACGAGAAACAAGTTTGTTTATATTCCTACAAGATAGAATTCTAGAAAAGGTAATGGTAACTAGAAAAATCGGTGTCAAATTTAAAATGATAAAAACCGCAATTATTTCTGCACTAACTTAATAGAACATATCCCTCAATGAAATTTCTCAAAACATTTTTAGCACTCCAACTTAAAAAGTTAAAAATACAAATTTAAAAATTTAAAAATTTGATTTAAAGCATGCTTTAAAAATTTAATTCGAAATATGCTATCCAATTACGATATCAATTGCGAATCCCATTCTTGTCTCAAACATGGTTTCTCTATTTAGGATCAAAATAAAAATACTGTTTCCTGAAATTATTTTCGAGAATTTTTTTTTTCATTCGATACAACGTCGGTATATTTTCACATAGGAAAAATGAATTGATTAAATTTTCAGCAAATCTGTAGCTTGCTAGACAAAACCGAGTATTATAAATAGGTTTCGATGTTGCAGTTCGCCAGTATCACAATAATGCCGCAATATACAAGAATTTTTTAATAAATTTCAAGCCTAACGCTGAAGCATTTATATTTTTGAGCAAAATGGCTTTTATTTTTCAATATAGTCTCTTTTCAGCTCGGTACACTTTGTCCATCTCTTTGCTAGTCTTCCGTCAGCAAAGTAGGTTGAGTCAAACCTTGCAAAATACTCGTTTACGGCAGCAATCACTTCCTCATTGGTCGCGAATTTTTTTCCTCCCAATTATTTTTTCATGTTCGGAAATAAAAAAAGTCACAGCGGGTTAGATCAGGCAAATAGGGAAGGAGGGATGGGGAGCCAATTCGTAGCGTAATTTATGCAGTTTGGCGATGACAATTGCAAATGTGTGAGCTGATGCGTTATCCTAATGAAAATACACCTTTTTCTTCTTCAGATGCGATCCTTATTTTCTACGATTTCTTTCTTCGGACATTCTAATAATGATGCATAATATGCGCCAATGAGAGTTTTTCCTTTCTGAAGATAACTGGTGAGCAATATGCCATAGCTATTAAAAAAAAACAGTCGCCATAATTCTTCCGGCCAGATGAAACATCTTCCTCGGAACAGGTTCGTCCGGTGAAGTCTATTTACTTTGACTGTTCCTTGCTTTCAGGTGTGTAGTGGTGGAATCCATATTTCGTCAACAGTTATGAATCGACGCAAAAGATCCTTTGTATCCCGCTTGAACCGGTCCTTTGAAGTGTGATACCGAATACATTTTTGGTTCAACAAACACGGCGTCCATCGCGCAGTCAGCTTTCTCATATCTAAATCTTCAATATTTTGAACATATATTCAGAAGATATGCTTCCGGCATCTACTATCTCTGTGATATTCAGTCTCCAACTATCCAGTATGATTTGATGCACTTTGTCGACCATTTCCTTAATTGTTGTAGTTTTTAGGCGATTCGAACGATTGCTTATCAGCAAAAACATTTGTACAACTACGGCAACTACGGCATTTGTTAAACTCGACAATCCAAACTTTCACCGTTGAAAACGAAAGAACAGAGTCATTGTAAGCAAAATCCAACTCAGTTTTGATTTCCGTCGAAGTTTTTCCCTTTTAGATTGAAGTATTTAATCACGGAAAGATATTCGATTTTTTTATCGTTGAAAAATATATTGACGCGCGTACTACAACTGTCTGTCAAAATAAAACTAAGCGTCGCATATGGCTGAACATTTAGAAGCATTTATTAAAAAGATGTAACTTTCACACCTTACAACAATTTCCGACTAGTAATGTCATTTTAATGTTCAGGCTCGAAAGTTATCAAACAACCTACGTAAGAATGTCAATATTAACGATATACATGTACATCCACGATCAAATTCAACAAGTCTGTTAGCATTTATTTACTTTAGTAAGTTACATAGCGCGACAGATCTATGCGAAGTACGCGAAATGTCAATAAGAGAGAGAGAAATAGATATCAAAATATGGGATTTAGATAACTCAGTCAGTAGAGCAGTCATCACATTTTCAACTAATTTACTTGAAACCACAATTAATTATATCTTTTTGGCCGAAATTGATATTAAACTATATTTATACAACAGACATTGAAAAGATTTTGGACTGGTTTTTATTTTATGAGTTTCTTTTTGCAATTTATTTTATAAGTATTTTTATACAATTTATATTATCTTTTTAGCTGATTTTTATTGCTCGAATAACTTAGTAATTATTAATTATGCACTTAGAATCACATACTTGAAATAAAATTTCTAACTATAATTTACTTATAGATTTTGGGAAATCAAAGTAAATTTTAATCAAATTCTCTATAAAATTTTCTATGCAGGACATTTTTCTTTTATGTATAGTATTAAACAAGGGATTCTATTTTTATATCAATTGTTGTAATTAATAAGATGAGAAATCAAAAAGATGAAATTTTAATGTAAAATAAAGAGTAGAAGAAATATTGGGAAAACTGAGTTTCTCATTTGGAATCGCGTATTTGAAACATTTCACTTCTAAAACTTGAATTTTGCGTAGATTTCAAAAAACTAAATTAAATCCCAAGAATTTTTTTATATAGGATCCAAATAAATAGTTAAACATAAATTTGGTTGCACCTAATTGATGTATTACATAAAAGTTGTATCTTTTATAAGTAATTTATAATGCATTCATATTTGTATATAAAATGATGAAATGGAAGTATGAAAACAATACTAAAAAATGATCTTAATCTACTCAAAATAATATGTCATATAAAATATAATTTGAAAATCTAAAAGTAACTTTAGATCTGTTGCTATAATGATATAACAAAAATTCTATTATTATTGTATAATCAGCTATTTAAAAATTATAACACTTTTCCTCTAGAAATTTTGTGAAACATCTCGTATCTACTAAAGAACATTTGTTCTTTAGTAATTTTCGGAAGATTAATTTTCCTATTGAATACGAAATGTACTGCAACATTCATCGAAAAATATTGCAGCTTTTAATCAGTCAACTATGAGATGTAAGTTTAATAATTGATTCAATAATAATATATTGTAATATATATTTCCTCTACAAGTATAATTAAGGATATTATGAAATTTTTATTATACACACACACACACATCACAATTGTCTCACGATATCCTGAGATTACCATAAAAGTTTATCTAGAAGGGTTGTTTACTCACGAAAGCTTATATGTAGGGTGGTGAAAAAAAGAAAAAGAAAGAGGGAGAGAGAAAGAGAGAGAAAATATATTTTAACTATGATGATTTTTTTTTCTTCCTTTTTTCACACCAATTACACACATAATTAGAGAAGAAAAATATGTTATTCTCTATCACTCTCTCTGACTCTCTCTTATTTTTTTCTCTAATACCAAGCCTTCAACAGGAATTCTATGACTTTAAGTCTAAACAATGACGGGGAAAGGAAAAAAGAAAAAAACGAGAAACGGGAATAGGAAAGGAGAATAAAATTTGTTTCCGTTTTCCTACGGAATAAATGTTTTTTCTAAGCATTTGTTTTTTCCATTTTGGTTTTTTATCACAGTGCTTTCTCACAGAGGAGTACTTTCTGTCATTTAACCATAAATCTCTTTTCGCCAAGAGAAAGAGAAAGAGAGAAAGAGAGAAAGTGACAGAGAGGGAGGAAGGGAGGGAAGGAGGGAGGGAGAGAGAGGAGGGAGTTTGGTCTCGACGCGCTGTTCTCAACCATGCCGCCGCCGCCATTTTAACAAATTCACACGCTAGGTGCGCTTATAACGAAATTAATTACAGTTCTCGCCCATCTTGTTTCATTAGTACCGTGAAGGTATAAGATAAACCACGCGCGCGTACGGCGTTACGGGATACCGCTCTGACGAAAAATGTGTAATAATATTTCCGCATTCATAAAAATGCGCGCGTTTTAATATCGCGCGTTGTACGGCATTTAAAATAGCCTTCGCGGGGCTAATAAGTAGCGTTACAATGATTACGTATTCAGCTGGCAAAACGACGCGCGGATTAACCTAGTTTATTATGTTCCAGATTGAAGGAGAGAATTCGTCTAGTCTTCGAGGAGATTTCCCTGCAAAAAGGAGATTTGAGGTGAGTAGCGTTGGTTATGTCTTTTCACCTTTGGCTCGTCAGCGACGACGAGGACGAGCTACGCAAAACACGTATCACGTCGGACGGCGGGTAACGACAGACAACAGCGGGGAGGATAAATCAACGCCCGGCAACAAATTGAAGATTATACTGCGTTGTCCTCCCCTCTCCCCTCTGCCCCGTCTTCCTTCGTTGCACTCACCCTCAACGCCGTTTCGAAACTTCGTCCCGCATAAATGGCTTACAAATTTTTCCCCTTACTGACGGCGGCATCCCGAAGTTGATAGATTCGCGGGAGCAACGTTCGGTGCATCTGTGGGAAAAAGTTTGCTGTACGTTCCTCGCATATTCCGGATAGAAATTGAGTTCAGCAAGTTTCGAGAGAGAAAAAGCGGGGGAGATCTAGCGGGAGGATCAAAGTCGCGAATTCACGAAGTATGACCGAGGCTTCCTCGTCTGTGTAAAAGATGCACCATTAAGCCTTCTGTCGGTATGGTGGCATCGGCGTGACCCGCCGATTTAAAAGTTTCAAAGCTGTCGCCCGTGCAACGCGTTGAAAATAACGCGTAATCGAAACCGCAAACGAAGGAAGGAGACAGAGGTATAGAGCGGAGTAAAAGAGGAGGGAAGTGCCTCGAACGAGTGTAAATTGTCCTCGGGCACGTCCCTCCACTCGAGCGATAAGTTAAATTTCGAAATTACCATTTTGCATGTCCGAGGCATAATTCACGTCCCAATGTTGCTTTCATTTTTATTCAGTAAATAATATTTGTTTCAAGCGTTATGCTCAACCTTTCTTCTGAAATAGATTATAAACGTTTTAAATCAAACAATATGTATCATGAGCTTAGGGATTTTGGATATAAAAAAGAAGAATATTAATTTATATTAGGTAATCAAGAAAGTTCGTGCCGTTTTAATAAATGATTTAATATATCTAAAACTTTAAATAATTAATTTCCGTTAGTGTCATACATCGGTAAATTCTTGGTTAAATAAGCTTTTGTTTAAGCATACATAACCACACTTTTAATTGATAGTGTGCGCAATTTGACAATGACAAAAATCTAGGAGCGGCGATATTTCTTGATAATCTAATGGTTAATTTGTTCTTACATAAAAACTATATTCATTAACATATAAATATATTTAGTAATTTTTCCTTACATAAATATATTTATTATGTAGGAGTAAAAACGGAAAAAATAGTGAGAATTATGCGAGATGTATCTTTATTGTTCGGTCACTTCTATTTCTCGAATCTCTCTCTCCATTGTGTACATCCAGCTTATATACTGGGTGTCTAGGATTATCCGTACACTCTTTTTTTTTCAAAAACTAAGCATTTTAGAGAAAAACGTTTTAGACAAAAATTATATTATATTAAATTTTTTTATTATTTAGTTTCTATTTAGTCACTATACTTAGTCTCAAGAATATATTGTTACAATAGTGCCCCTAACTTTTGTTAACTTATCGACTTTTGGAAATTTCAAAATCATCAAATTAACAAAAGTCAGGATACTATTGTAACAATAGATTCTTGAGACCAAGTAGAGTAAAAGTATCATTTAGTTTAGTATCATTTTTTCTTCCGACAAACAGCGAGATATCGTAAGTTAAATATTGAAAATGTTATCAAGTTCTTCTTAAAAATCTCAAAAAATATTAGGCAAGTAAAAAAATGTTTCAGACAAAAGCTGTTTAAATTAATTGGTTGAGAAAGATGATATAAAAAATTGACGTTTCCATTTTAAAAAAATAATAATCAATAAATATCTCGAAAGTGGCGCCATCTGTAAACAAACCGATATAGTTATTTTATTCCTCCCTTGAAACCATACAATTTTTGTCTAAAATGTTTTTCTCCAAAATGCTTAGTTTTTGAAAAAAAAGGGTGTACGGGTAGTCTCAGACACCCAATATATATGCAAACAAAAAATATTTTCGAAGCTTCTAACCGTTCTCGTGTGAAGATCGCTCGCAAGTCAAAACAAATAATCGGATTCAAAGAGTTATCCACGATCGTCCCAAATCCCAAATCGTATCCAAACGTCTCACCGCTCGACATTTCGTCTTAGCGAACGGTTTCACTGCCGGGCTTCTACAATTAATATGATTTGTCAGAACCGATTACATGCAACATGCTTTTAATATAATCCATATACACGAAACTTCACTTATATGCAAAAATTAAACAATCATTTCAATATTAAATCGATATAAGCCAACGTAATGCAAGATAACAACGCATGATAATTGCCCACAACTTTGTTTCTTTTGCCGAAAGTAATTTGTTAGCAATGTCGTAAAAACGTATCCGTCTTCGGTAATAACTGTCGATTGCCCTCTAATTCTAAGTTCAGCTAAATTTTTTCTCTTTTCTGAGAGTCGCATATAACAAATGTTTAGAAAACATTCTTATTCTTATTACCTATATAAAAAATTTCATGGAATCTAATCGGGATTTAATTTGATTTCCCAAAATAATTATGAATCCTAACTAAATAATCTGTGCAGACTAAGATTAAAACTTATAATGTTTCAAATATGCGAAACCAAATAAGAAGCTTAATCAGATTCCATTTGCTCTTCCTAAAAATTTTTCAAAAATTTTTCTTGTTTTTATTTTACATTAAAATTTAAAGAAAAATAAACTTGAAATACTTATAGCATTTACGTTTTCCAAACATAAATGTGTAAAAAATATTAATATTCAAAGCGTTTTCTATAAAAATTTATTTTTTATTTACATTTTTTACTCTATTAAATTCGATGGTTGATATAGAAATGATTTTCGCTACTTATAATTTCATATAAATTTATCCTCTAAAGAGCGTGAACTTCTATTTTATTTTTATTTCGATTCCAGAAAATTCTCGTGGGAAAATCCATATAAAGAGTCCTATGGAAAATTGCTGAAACTAATCATTTTCGAATGCATTACATATTATAAAAATAAAAATTGCGTTGAAAAGAAGAAAGCAATTTTTAATGGATATAAATAAAATTTTAAAAAATGTTAGCGTATCAGTTTATTTTATTGATGAAAAATGATGAAAAATATGCTAACGAAAGCTAATGATAAATATTTTCGAAGTACGCACTATCTGAATTTGTACGAAACTCAATTCTTCTGCAAAAACTCGTAAAAACTTTTTCTCACATGTCGTCTTTAATATTACTGACGACTTTTTTAATAACTGTTACTAAATTTCGTAACATTTTTGGGTTTCCGGCATAACAATTGCCATTAATGTATGCCCCCAAAGAAAGAAGTCACATGGATTTAAATCCGGTCAATACGCGGCCATTCTAGTTCCTCCTGGACAAATTTGAAATATCCCAAACCGATGACTCAGGCGCCATAAACATTACAGATTGTTTCGACTTTCTGAGGCCCAGTTCCACAACTTGCTTTAAACGGAGTTTAAAGCAAGTTGTGGAACTGGGCCTTAATCGGTTAGCAATTGATGAGATGATATTTTATACGGACACGTGTTCAGGAAATGTTTCAAAATCCTGTATACTGTTGTGTTTAATATTTGAAGTCAATTTTCCGAATGAAAGCATTTGAGCTTTGTTCGAAATCATTCTTAACACGTTCATTTGCGTTACGCGATATCGCGTGTTGCGGCCTCTCACCAAACGGCCGTTTATGCGATTGTTTTTTATTATCAGTGACAAACCAGGACCCTCGAAAAGACTCAGTTCAATGCTAGTTCAATCGTGCAAAAAACGACTAAAAATAAATAAAAGAAAAAATAACTTTGGCCACCACACGAAATTCAAATTTTCAGTCTGACAATGAACGTGTTAATTTCTTCAATATTTTCTTCTACAGCTACAGACAAAGAAGGAGCTGACAGATGGTGTCTACGGTCTTGGATAGTTCCATATTGTATAAAGTTATTATTAATAATTCTGTTAAAAACAACATCAAAAATTATTTGAATGCAGATTTATTGCCGAAAATGGAATGCCAAAAACGTAACGCCAAAGTTTAAATAATTAAAGAATTTTAATCTTGTGTTTTTTCGCTCGTAATTTTATGTGTTCCGTATTTAATATGAAACACCTTATAATCACTACTGTATACTTTTCCTCTAGGAAAAAGGTATTCGATAATGCGATAGAGTTAGCTTTGGAAGAAAATGTATTCTGAACGACTGGGAAATCTTGAGAGATATTGAATCTGCATAAACTTTGCGAAATCGATCTAAATTCCAATTAGATATGGAGGTACCAGAGATATCATTTTCTATGCGGGGTTAGATCTTGGTATGCTTCTGTAATTAATACAAGGAGCACAATATATTATTATTATCACGCACGAGAAGAAAGTATTCGGAATTTTGCCGCGTTCGACTTTATCCTATCCTTCTCCTGCTCGAGATATTTTGACCACTTCGAATCTCTCAACTCTCACTATACTTTCCGGTCCAATAACCCCGCAACTCAAACGAGGCACGAAATGAAAGCCGCGCAGCTGTTAAAAACTTTAAGACGCATATACGTATGTGTACACACAGCGCAACATTGCTTGTGTGCGATTCTCCAAAAGAGAAAAAATACAGCCGGACTTAGAATTACGAGGGTGTTCAACCGTTATTACCGAAGACGGACACGTTTTTTACAACTTTGGTAACAAGTTTCACATCCGTCAACTTCGTCGAGTTTTCGCAAGAAGCCGTGGATGTAAAGGCGTAACAGTAAAATAAGTAAACTAAGTCGGAGACCGTATCATATATCGAGCACTTCATCGATCCGATATCGGAGCACACTCTTTAAGGTTACCGCTAAGAATTAATCGGTTTCTCTCTAATACGACCGAGAGCAGTTATCGGAGGACACGACTCGAGGGGAGTGCTCTCACGGCGTGTAGACAGAGGGAGGGAGAGGGGGAGAGGGGAGAGAGAGAGAGAGAGAGAGAGAGAGAGAGAGAGAGAGAGAGAAGCCAAACGCTTTTCTATCAATTATTTATCCACAACTGCGAGAAA